ATAAGAGTTGGTCTGAAAAGTCGTGTTAAACTTGTGCAAGTGATTCTTTCTGTATTCTAATTACGTTTGCCCATAATATCTTCTTGACAAGTAGTAATATTACTTATTACTCTCAGTAGATTTAGTTGAATATCAACATTCGTATTTTTCTATTTATAATATGCAATAATATTAGATAAATTTATAATTGAAATGTATATACGTACTAATTATTTACCTTGAAGTTTTTAATTATTGATCGTTTTTGAATTATTACATTCTTTAACAATATTGATCGTTTTTGAATTATTACATTCATTTGTAATTCTTTAACAATATTGAAGTTTGTTATACAATGTACCACTTGATTCCAAAGCTTTTACCAAGGACGAAACCTAACTCCAGAAGTTTTCGGGGATGCTACCGATTCCCAATGGTATGCATATGGACTAGTAATACTGCTAGTAATGATTCTATTTTTTACTAGTTTGCTAATCAAAAATGAAGTTATTTTATACTTCTTTTATTTATTTATTTTTTTTATAATCTTTTTTAAACTCTTATAACTAACCAAATTGCTAAAGTGGATAAACAAATCATTAAAATATTATTCTATTCGCCATTTACTGTGTTGTCAAGAAGAATCTACCCGCATTTTTTATAATAAATGTTTAATTCCAATAATTAGATATTTAAGATAAACTTAAATCTATGAAAAAGATTATTTTAAGTTACGTAATATGATTGAATGATTGGTATTTTTTGCTCAGAAAAGGTTATACATAACAACGGATATATTTAATCCGTGTCAATATTAAATATTTGCTACATTATATAATAGAATTTTCAATCTGATGAATGGATTGAGTTCATGATTAAATTTAATAAACGATAAAATTTTGTACATTCTTGACTCGATTATATTTCAATGACTAATTAAAAATGAATCACAATAAAACATACATTTTTAAATTCGCAAAGACTACTGATAATAGTAAAAAAATAACTTATTGAATGCCATTATAATTTAGTATCATATAATTGTTTAAATCGTATGTTAAAGTCCTTGAGTATAAAATGCAGGTGTTTTGAAAAGTATAATGATTTTTCGAAATGCGCGTGTTAGCATGCCCATGTGGTAATGATGTAAAATAAAAATGGCCTCATCGTTATAAGCAGATAAATCCCAGTATCAAATTATTATGCCTTTCACAAATTAATGTCTTGGTTTCTCAACGTTGATTCTAACTCCTTGTACGTAAATTCTCTTCGTTTTGACAGCTTTATAAAATGCATCTTGGTTTTTAAACGTAACATAGGCGTATGGCTATTCCAATCGTAATATAAATTATAATATAAATTAATAATCAAGAACTTAAGAAAAAAAATTACACCAACATGAAAAGGATAAAATAAAACAAAAATACATACTTGAGGAGCATAGTGCTCAATCGATAAAACTTCTCCAAATTCATCTTCAAATCTATACTTTAATCCTTGAATTGTAATAGGAGGGATGACATTTCCGACCCAAACTTTGTATTCTATAAAATAATTTAATTCCGGATGCAAGTTAATATACTAGAAGAGAAAGATTATGAAAAATAGTACCATATTATTATGATTACCTTCTTGAATTTTGAGAGTTCCAATATTATCTAAAATATTTTGAAAACATCTTTCGGTTTTATGAAAAGCCGCAGTTCCACTACAACTTTCGCTGCCACTTAATTCTCCATCATTCAACTCATGAAAAGGATTCATACAAGTTTTTGACTTTGTTGTATGTTGACGATGACTAATAATATCAACATTATGACTACTTGCAATTGAAGAGCAACTATAATGCTCTAACGTTTCGTTACAACGAATTAATTCTTGTTGAGTAAATAACAAATCTTTTTGTAACTTTATGATATATTGTTGAAGCGATGATATAGTTTCATCCTTTACAATAAGTTGAGAGGTAAGAATATAACAGTTTTCGCAGGAAGAATTTTGAGGTGGCATTTGAGAATTAGAAAGATTAGTTAGGTTCGTGTTCATTAAAAGATATCAATAAAATAGAAAGTTTGATAGACTTTTTTTATTTTTGTAGATATTTATGATATCACATATTTGATGACGTGTATATGACAACAAATATATAAGATTAAATGGCATCTTTATATAAATCTCAAAAGTTAGAAACTTTAAAACTTACCGAAAAAGTGCTATATCAAGTAATCATTTTACTCATCTACTACATTAAAATCATAACGTATGACTTCCTGACTCTTATTTGTAGAGTTTATCGTTTTATACTATAGATTATACTATAGATTAAATTTGCAGATCATTGAATTCGAATTCTCTCAAAATTAAGATTTTTTTTTGATTAAATTGATGATCGTAAAACACGGAGACTTTCGGAATAAAATACAAGTCTGTCATCGGTAACTTACCTTTTGGTAATTTACCATAAATTGCCGTGCACGAGAATCAATTAATTGATATAGGATAGCATTGCTTGGTTGAATATTAAATAATTTTTAAAATATTATATTTTATTAAATTTTTAATAAATTTACTACTATTAGAATCAAAAAAATCTACTTTACAAAATTTTAAGAGTATTCTCTATTTTTAAAATTAAATTAAAAATTTTTAAGTTATTTATATTTAAATTTAACAAATATTGTTAAACTTCTTAAGTTATATAATATACTCATAACATGACTTAGTCACAATCACGGTGTAATATCCGATGCTAACCATCAAATACATCTCGGAAGTCAAGGTTAACCAATATAACTAATAACAAAAGGTCACATAGTAAGGGACATAGATATATCATAGTGTTAGAGTATGAACAAGCTAGTAAGTTTATGTATAGTGTTTTTTGCAAGTGTTTTTAGTTTTAGAATCGATCGTATAGTGTCCCTTGTTTAATAAAGAAAGAATGCAGTTGCAAACTTGACAAACTTCGTCTATGAAATTAATAGAAGTTCGCCCATACATAAAATGTATTTCGTTAATATTACTGCCGTTCAAATATATCAAAAATCACAATTTTTTATTCTATTAGTCTGCAGTGTAACACGTGAGATTGATCAAACAGTTAGTGTCCTCGCTTC